GCCGCCACCGCCACCACCAGATATAGCGTGAGGCCTGAGGCATCAGGGTCCGCTGGGGGCTCGAGACTGCCCAGGTCCGCCAGGATGTCCGGGATGTTGTTGGCCACGGCCACGGTGAGCGTGACGGTGGCCGAGAGAGGGGGCTGGCCGTGGTCCTGCACCGCCACCACCAGGCTCTGCTTGAGCGCGTCTCTGTCCAGCAGGGCCCGCGCCGTGCGCACCTCGCCCGTGTGCAGCCCCACCGCGAAGAGCCCTGGCTCGCTCGCCTTGAGCAGGTGGTAGGACAGCCAGGCGTTCTGGCCCGAGTCTCTGTCCACCGCCACCACCTTAGTGACAAGGTAGCCGGGCTCTGCGGAGCGGGGTGCCAGCTCCACACCTGTGGAGCCATCCGTGGGGATGGTGGGGTACAGGATCTCTGGCACGTTGTCATTCTGGTCCAGCACGAATATGCTGACAGACACATTGCTGCTGAGTGGAGGGTCCCCGCTGTCGCTGGCTGTCACTAATAGTTCCAGGTCTCTAACCTGCTCAAAGTCAAAGGAGCACAGTGCATACAGGACACCAGTATCAGAGTTGATGGAAACATAGGAAGAAAGAGGCTTTCCATGGAGTGTGTCCTCAGCCAAGGAGTATGTGACTCTGGCATTCTCGGTGCTGTCAGGATCCTGGGCAAATATAGATAAAATGGAGGCTCCTCTGGCATTGTTTTCGGGAATGTAGGCAGAGTAGGAAGCATGAGGGAAAGCAGGTGGGTTGTCATTGATGTCTGCCACCTGCAGTGAGATATGAGTTTCTGTAGACAGTGGTGGTGTTCCATGATCAGTGGCAGTTACTGTGATGTTATATTCTGAAACTTCTTCCCTATCCAGCGTTCTGCGTGTCAACAGTCGATGATAATTTCCATAGGTCTTTTCAAGTGTGAATGGCAGATTACCTAGAATGGAACATGTGACAAGGCCATTCTCTCCTGAATCACTGTCATGCACATTGAAAAGTGCAATTACTGTACCTGGGGAAGAAGTTTCTTGGATAGAGCTGGTGAGAGATGTAACAGTGACTTCTGGAGCATTGTCATTTACATCCAGAACTGTCACCAGTACCTTACTTCTGGCTCGGAGACCAGGACCATCATGGGCTTCTACATCTATATCATAGAATCCAGAGTCTTCATAATCTAGATCCCCCAGTATTGTTATGTCCCCAGTCAAAGAATTCAACTGGAATAGTTGGGACATTTTATCTCTCACTTTGCGGAAAGAATAGGTTACTTCTCCATTGGCACCTTCATCTGGATCAGTGGCTTTTACAATAAGTAGGCGGTACCCCACTGGCACGTTCTCTGGAACCTTCACATGGTACTCTGGCTGAGTGAATACGGGAGCATTGTCATTGGTATCCACAAGTGTTACATGAATCTTGACGGTGCCAGAGTGAGGCAGGTCACCTCCATCAAAGGCGGTGAGAAGGAGGTGGTGAACTGCCTCTTCTTCTCGGTCTAGGGCAAGCTCCAGCACCAGCTCAGGGTACTTAATGCCATCTGCTCCGCTTTGCACGTCTAGGGAGAAGTGAACATTGGAGCTGAGCTGGTAACCCTGCAGGGAGTTTACCCCAACATCTGGATCAAAAGCTTCAGGAAGAGGAAATCTTGTCCCAGGACTTTCATTTTCAGCAACTTTTATTTCCCTTTGCTCTGTCCCAAAGCTGGGCGCGTTATCATTAACATCGATAATTTCCACTTCCACTCCAAAAATCTTCACTTTGTCCTCCAGAAGAATCTCCAGGCTTACTACACACTTTGGAGATCTGTCACAGAGCTCTTCCCGGTCTATCTTACCCGCGGTGACCAAGCTGCCGCTTCGCGGGTTCAGAGCAAAGAGCTGCGTCCTACCTCTGGAGATGATGCGGACTCCGCGCTCTGACAGTTCCCGGGGCTCCAATCCCAGGTCCTTGGCGATATTGCCCACATAAGAGCCTTTCTCCAGCTCCTCAGGCACTGAGTAGCGAATCTGTTCGGCCTGGATTTTCCACAGGGCCCCCAGGAGAACGCAGATCCCGACCAGCCGGCTGCATTCTGGGCGATAAGAAGAAGCCGCCATTACCGCCCCGCGGCAGAATAGCTTCCGCTTAGGTGTTCCCTCAGTGGAGACCAGAGAAGCCCCAGGATCTTCGGGGTCCAAGATTTTGTGCTTTCACCGTTGAACGTTGGAGTTCTGGGGTCCAGTCTTAAGCTTTCCTAAAACCACAGGGCTAGTGCTTTGGGATGCAGAGATCTTGTGGTTCAGATTAAATTCCTGGTTATCTGTTTCCCCGATTGGTGAACAGCGACACTCAGAGTCCTAACCTGTTACTGCAATCTATTCTTGGTGAAGAAAAGCACTACCTGTTTACACCATTTCTTTTCCATAACCTATTTTTCCCAAAAGAATAAAATTCTAGGGGCGCCTGGGTGGCTCAGTCGTTAAGCGTCTTCCTTCGGCTCAGGTCATGATCTCAGGGTCCTGGGATCGAGCCCCACATCGGTCTCCCTGCTCCGCAGGAAGCCTGCTTCTCCCTCTCCCACTCCCCCTGCTTGTGTTCCCTCTCTCACCGTGTCTGTCAAATAAATAAATAAAATCTTTTTTTTAAAAAAGAATAAAATTCTAGCTCCTATTGTTTTATTTGCAGTGAAAATCCAGGCATGATCCAAAGCTTACTGTACAATAAATCTTCCAAAGTAATTTATTTTCAAAGAAAATATGATTTTTTTCCTAAGATTTTTTCTCTTTTTAAGTTTTTCCATTATTTATTTTCATAGTCCATTTTCAGTGCAGTGCATTGTGTGAGGGACACATTTATCCTCCCCAGAAACAAGGACGAACTTGACGAATGAAAGAATAGATAGATGAAAAAACAGTGTCAGGTCAGGGAAGTAGGAGGTCTGAGCTCTAGGTCCTTACCTATGCAGAAACAAATTCCCTCATGTGGGTTGACCCTTTAGAATCTGGGGTAACTTTTCAATTCTCTTGTAAGAAAACATCTACTGTTCAAGAGCTAGTCTTACCCGGGTGCAAATGGCTTTGGCAAATATGGTAATAGGTTTGGGAAGCTAATTTGTTCATTAATTTTGTATACACAAGATTTAAGGTCACAGGCTACGTTTGTGACTATCATGTTCACAGTGTGTCCTCAAACTTTAGAGCAGCACCTTTCATAGAGTAGACACTCAAACAGTTTTTCAATGTTTAATGAGTGCATTACTAGTACAACTGCAAAGTCCTAAAACAATGGGTAACTCTGATATTAAAAATAAATAATAAAGAAGATAGAAAAGTTAAACTGAAGCTTTGTCTGTAAAAAGCAGACAATATTCAGTATCTTTTTTCACATAAGGACACATTCAGAAGGTATTATTTTACTGTCATTTGTACATTTACTTTAGGTTTGATTTTAGAAATAACCACTAAAAGGAAAATTTTTAGGACTTGTATATATATTATCACTGCATGTTTCAGTTTTCTTATACATGAATACTTGGAGTAATTAACTAACCTTAGAAAATTTAATATGAAACAGCAAGTAGCCAGTTCTTTAGATGATTCCTCACATAATAATTAGCTTCTAGAAGTTACTCATAAGTTTTAATCAGACAAGAAAGTCCATTATTTATTCAGAATAGTAAAATCATCAGACTTTGGAGAGCAAAGGTAATTTTCACAATCCTCAAAGGAGTCACAAATTGCTGGGGATTGGGAGGTAAAATGAGATGTTTTGAAAAACTTTGACTCACTTCTCAGAAACCTATACTAAAAAAAAAACAAAACACAGAAGAGGCTTTATATACAAAAAGTTTCTGGGTGGCTCAGTCATTGGGTGTCTGCCTTTGGCTCAGGTCATGGTCCCAGGGTCCTGGGATCGAGCCCCGCATCGGGCTCCCTGCTCCACGGGAAGCCTGCTTCTCCCTCTCCCACTCCCCCTGCTTGTGTTCCCTCTCTCAGTCAAATAAATAAACAAAATCTTTTTTAAAAGTTTCATTACATTCCTTATTATAACAGTCAAAAAGTAGAAAGAGTATAAAAAATTATTTAAGAATGGTTAAGATTATTTGTTTAAAAATAGATCTTATTTTTATAAAGATTTTTTTAAATTTATTTGACAGAGAGAAAGAGCACAAGCAGGGGGAGCAGCAGGCAGAGGGAGAAGCAGCCTCCCTACCTAGCAGACAGTCCGATGCAGGGCTCCAGGACTCTGGGATCACGACCCGAGCAGAAGGCAGACGCTTAATCGACTAAGCCACCCAGGTGCCCCTAAAGATCCTATTGTTAAGTATCTCTACATCCAATGTGGGGTTCAAACCCACAACCTGGAGATCAAGACTCACATGCTCTACCGACGGAGCCAGCCAGGTGCCCAGAAAGTTATTTTTGAATGAGATTATAGAGTGCAAATAAAATTGACCCAATGTTAGCGATCCAAATCAGTCTTTGATACATGTGATAAGGCAAAGAAGTGCTAAGAGACTTAATTATTGAAGGCTCAATTAAAAATACACATGGCAGCAAAAAGATAAAAAACTATATTTGATGAAGATGAACATTAACTTAAGCAGAAAGAACTGTCAGTACATTTATAAAGAAGAAAGCTTGAAGTGCTCCCTTTGGCAGCACATATATTAAGAATAAAGCTTGAAAAAATAGTATCACACGTCAACTAAGAAAGGCAGTGTTATTACTAAAGGTAGCGGCATCCAAAAACAAGCTCTCCCTCTCTTTTTTAAAAGATTTTATTTATTTATTTGACAGAGAGAGACACAGCTAGAGAGGGAACACAAGCAGGGGGAGTGGGAAAGGGAGAAGCAGGCTTCCCTCGAAACAGGGAGCCCGATGGAGGGCTCAATCCCAGGACCCTGGGATCATGACCTGAGCCGAAGGCAGATGCTTAACGACTGAGCCACCCAGGCGCCCCAAGAACAAGCTCTCTTTAGCAATAATTTCTTATCATACAAAATCGTCAACAGTACAGATTGAGAGGTATTAGTTTGGTAACTACCAAGACTACTGAGCAATCAAGACACCAATCTCCACCCATCCAATACACCTCTTCTACCATCACTAGAAAAATGAACAATAAAAAATAATTATGCACGACTGAGAATAAAAGCAGGTTTGCAGAAACTCACGTGAGAGGCAAAAGACGAATCATAAACGATTTGGGGGTCTTCATTGCTGACACATACATCCATAGAAGGATTGTCACAAAGGAGATCCCGAGGAGGAGCCATTTCTGGTTTCAGGTTGGAAAAAGTAAACTCTGTTTTAGCTAATCGTGAGGCCACGCACAGATTATAGGAATAAGGCAAAGTCCCTTCACTGTAACTGGGGAGAACCCCAGGTCCGGACTTGGAACTGAGATTCCGGCGAAAGCAGGTCCAGGCAGCGCGGTGGGAGGAGCGGCGCAGGCGCAGAGCAAGGGCCAGAATCACCGCGAGGAGGAAGAGCACCGAGACCGAGGCCAAAACCACAACCAGGTAAAACTGCAGCTCAGCCTGGGGGTCAGAGGGTGCCGGGCGGTCGCTGACATCTGGCAGCACTTCTTGTAGGCTGTCGGCGAATACCAGGAGCAGCGTGGCTGTGGCCGAGAGGGGCGGCTGTCCCCCATCCCGCACAGCGACCAGCAGGCGCTGGCGGGCCGCGTCCCTGTCGCCCAAAGCGCGCGCCGTGCGCACCTCGCCCGTGCGCAGCCCCAGGCTGAAGAGTCCCGGCTCGCTGGCCTGCAGCACGTGGTACGACAGCCAGGCATTGTGTCCCGAGTCGGCGTCCACCGCCACCACCTTGGTGACCAGGTAGCCGGGCTGCGCGGCGCGCGGCACCGTGTCGAAGAGCGCCGAGCCGTCGGGCCCCAGCGCCGGGTACAGCACCCGGGGCGCGTTGTCGTTGCGGTCGCCCACCAACACGCGCAGGCTCACGTTGGCGCTGAGCGCGGGCGAGCCCTGGTCGCGGGCCTGCAGGGTCAGCTCGAAGGCGCGCAGCTGCTCGTGGTCGAAGGCGCGCTGCGCGAACACCACCCCGCTCTGCGCGCTCACGGACACGTAGGACGCCAGGGCGCGTGGCTCCAGGTCGCTGTTCACGATGGAATAGGAGACGCGGCCGTTGGGTCCCAGATCCGGGTCCGAGGCGCTGACTTGGGCAATAGAGGCACCTGGAGGATTGTTCTCGGCCACGTGGACCACGTAGGAGGCCTGGTGGAAAACTGGCGCGTTGTCATTGATATCGCTGATGTGTAGGGTGACGCTTGTACTGGAGAATAGGGAGGGCTTGCCCTTGTCAGTGGCTGTGATGGTGACATTGTACTCCGCCATCTGCTCCCTATCTAGGGCACTGTCAATCACCAGCTTGTAATAATTCTTGGAGGTGGATTCTAATTTGAAAGGAATGTCTTCCTGAATATAGCATGTCACCAGACCATTTTGCCCAGAGTCCTGGTCTCTCACTTTAAAGAGGGCTATTACGGTTCCAAGGTCTGAGTCCTCGGGAATCTGGTTAGAATAGGACATCAATGTGATCTCTGGGGCATTGTCATTCTCATCAACAATTTCAATCTGAACATTACAGTGAGCCGTGTGCACCCCTCCATCCCTGGCTTCTACAACCAACATATATCTACTTGTCTTTTCAAAGTCCAATGTACCATTGGTTGTAATGTCACCAGTATTTGGATTGAGATTGAAGAGGAGGCTGGTGCTTGTTGGGGCACTGAGGAAGGCATAGGTGATCTCTGCATTAACACCCTCGTCCTGGTCGGTGGCCATCACTTGGAGCACAGAGGTCCCCAAGGGCACATTTTCTTGGAGGCTAACTCTGTATGTTTCCTGGCTGAACACTGGAGCGTTATCATTGGCATCGGTGACCTGAATCCGGATCTGGGTGGTGCTGCTTAGTGGAGGGTCTCCACCGTCCATGGCGGTCAGGATTAACTGGTGGGAGCTCTGCTGTTCTCTGTCCAGAGGTTTTTCCAGCAGTAATTCTGGGTATTTACTTCCATCAGGACTTTCCTTCGTTGTCACAGAGAAGTGTTCATTGGAGCTGATAGTGTATATCTTCAGTGAGTTACTTTCTACATCTGCATCTTGTGCAGAATCCAGAGGGAATTTTACACCTGGTAAGGCTGACTCGCAGATTTCCAAGTCAATGCCTTTTGCAGTGAAACGTGGTGCATTGTCATTAATATCTTGGATTGCAACAATCACGTGGAAAACATTCATTGGATTTTCAGCAACCATTTCAAATTCTAGTGCACACTCAGATTTCCTCCCACAAATTTCCTCTCGATCTATCCTACCGTTCACTAACAAATCCCCACTCTCTGCACTCACACTGAAGAAATTCTCTGAACTAACCCGCAGTTTTCGAGCTGACAACTCCTGGACACTGAGCTTCAGGTCCTTGGCGAGGTTCCCCACCCGCAAGCCCCTGGCCAGCTCCTCCGGAATAGCGTATTGGATCTGCTGGGAGATAGCCCCCCACAACAAAGACAGCAGGAAGAGAAACAGTACCTGAATTTTCATCGGTTCAGCTTTTCTCGAGCTTCTTTGCATTTTCTGAACTTCCTGGGAAGCTTCTTTTCAGGATGTCTCTGAGATGTTTAAAAAAAATCAGTGCCAGCACCTGGATTTTTGTGATTTGAGGGTAGGATTTGAGTTGGTGGGTGCACAGGCGCCGCCTCTGCGTTCTGATGTGCGCAGGTCAAAGCTGGAAAACACTGCCCAACTCTCCGGCAGAACTGAGAACCTTTCTTCCCTTTGGTCAACAGCGGCGCCCGGAGGTTGTCTGGGAGAACTGCATATTGTCCAGCCATTTACCCTCAATGTGTAAGCTCTTGAATCTATACGTACCTTGTCTAATTGTTGGAAAAACCAAGTATTCATATTTTCCCTCTAAATTTGATATGTTCTACTTTTTATCATTTCATAAGCGTTGCTATCATTTTACATTCTTTTTTGCATTAAAAAATTTCACTAGTCGGGCGCCTGGGTGGCTCAGTTGGTTAAGCAACCGCCTTCGGCTCAGGTCATGATCCTGGAGTCCCTGCATCAAGCCCCGCATCGGGATCCCTGCTCAGCAGGGAGTCTGCTTCTCCCTCTGACCCTACCCCCCTCATGTGCTCTCTCTCTCTCTCTCATTCTCTCTGTCTCAAATAAATAAATAAAATCTTTAAAAAAAATTTCACCAGGCTTACAACCAGTTTTTCAGTTTTGGGAGCAAAAATATCTTCAATTATTTCATTGTATTTATGAACACTGGCATGGCTAGTATGGATGTAACCAAATAAGTTACTGGCTTTTTATCCACATTTTAGTGAACTATGATCTTTACATTTTTGTAAAATCCATAACCTCCCTTACATAGTATTTTAACTCTCTCCATAAACTTTATCAATTCAGTAATACTTTCCAAAGATACAGTCTGCAAAAAAAGAGTGAATCAAGACCCTAGACTTATTTTAATGTATTGCTCACTTTTTTTTAGTGTTTTTTTTTATTTTTTTATTGTTATGTTAATCACCATATATTACATCATTAGTTTTTGATGCAGTGTTCCATGATTCATTGTTTGTTCATAACACCCAGTGCACCATGCAAAACGTGCCCTCCTCAATACCCATCACCAGGCTAACCCATCCCCCCACCCCCCTACCCTCTAGAACCCTCAGTTTTTCAGAGTCCATCATCTCTCATGGTTCGTCTCCCCCTCTGACATACTCCCCTTTTCTTCCTCTCCTGTTATCTTCTTCTTTTCCTTTTTTCTTAAAATATGTTGCGTTATTTGTTTCAGAAGTACAGATCTGTGATTCAACAGTCTTGCACAATGTATTGCTCACTTTTTAAAAGCATAGGAAATCTTCCCATTAAGTACAGCACAGCCTGATATTTTGTTAAAGTGACCAATTTAGGGGCGCCTGGATGGCTCGGTCATTAAGTGTCTGCCTTTGGCTCTGGTCATGATCCCAGGGTCCTGGGATCGAGTCCTGCATCAGGCTTCCCTGCTCTGCGGGAAGCCTTCTTCTCCCTCTCCCACTCCCCCTGCTTGTGTTCCCTCTCTCGCTGTCTCTCTCTCTGTCAAATAAATAAATAAATAAAATCTTTTAAAAAAGCGACCAATTTAGTACACATGCTTTTATACAGCTCAGTCTTGTGAATGCCATATTTATTTTTATGAAATCAGTGCTTTTTACTATATGAATGTATATGCAATACTCCATAATGCCAATACTCAGCTCCAGCTGATTTATACCATTAATAAGTATAATGAATTTGACTTGATCACTGGTAAATCTTGGAGAGGTGTTGAGAGTCCTTAGATACTCAATTTTGGAACTTACCCTGTAATCTTGAACTCATCTTGGCTAACTAAAACAAATACCTTTATTTCAAATGCACTACCAAATTAGATACCAATGTAATGATTTATTCTACTGTTTTGAAGTAGAATAATACATACCCACATTACACTCCAGTCAGAACAGACTATTATCTATTTTCCTGACATGATTTTTACTGTTTTCCCTACTTCATGAATTTATATTTTCTGTTCCTTTTGCTGTTCCCCTTTCTATTGTAATGAATTCTTGCCCATCCTTAAGAAAATCCTTTTTAGTGAAATGGAATGTCTGAGACCTTTCATTATCTATACAAGTAGATGGAAATTGTACTGCCTTTGTACTCTGTACACTTTCACAACATTTATGTAGGCTTTGTTTTATCAAGATTCTTAGAAAATTCGCTTTGAGCATCTAAAATTCCCCTGGTACTACCCATTTAGTAATTTTTCTCATTATGAGGAAAGTGATACTAATATCACTTTATCACATCATAAAGATTTTTCCTTAAAGAAGACATTTTGAAGATCATGTGCCTTTTTTCTGTGATGTATTTGCATGTTTGAGTGAAAATACACCTGTCCCTGCTCTCAGTTATTTTGCTCAAGCCCTGCATCTCACACTCTTGAATATATCTCTTTCTAATATATTGAGGGAGACAGATGTTCCTTTATTTGAAATCTAATGAAATATATTTTGGTCTCATTTTGGATGACTCTCTGAGGTGATTTCATGGGTGAAAATAATTTCATAAATTACAAAATGGGCCAACAATTTCTGGCTCAAGAAAGTTGTAGGACTCTATTTTATTGTTGGAGTAGCTGATCTGGAAATGTCCTGCTGAGGCTGAGACATATCTCCTTGCATTTTTTAAAATCCTTCTCAAAGGACAAGAAATGTCCCTCCAAGACTCATATCACTTTAGGCAATTGACCTCCCCACCTTCAGACAAAAGGCTGAAATCAATATGAATGCACACATACACGCACACATACTTTAGGTATACACAGTAGGGAATACAGTCCGGGTAAAACCACTTGACCAAGCTGTACATATTTTTACTCAACAGTTTTTGTCATTGAGATGAAAAGAGTGTGGCCTGGCTTGGAAAGAGCAAGCATCATTTTACAGGAGCCTAAAATACCTAATATTTATATTTTTATTTATATCAGTCAGGATAAGCTAAGTAGGTTGGAGTGACAAATTTCAAATCACAGGAAGTTAAAATGAAAAAAAAGTATTTATCACAGGTATACACACCAATGTATGACAACCACAGAGCTCTTCTCTTGATATAGTTATTCAAGCACTCAGGTAGAAGCAACAGTCACAATTTCAAAAAATAACTTAGAGATCTGGAAATTCTTAAAATGCCAACAGGAGCTTCCTCCAGGGAGAGGCACATATTACTTCCATTTACAATATATTGGCCAGAACTGGTTACTTAGGTCCATTCAGTCATAACCAGGTCAGGAAGATCAGCTCTACCATAGGCCCAGAAGAAGAAACAGATACTTAAGCAACAGAACTAAGGACTACCACATTGTTTTATTTTCAAATAAATGTGCATTAAATCTTTATATTAGTCACACTGGCATAATTGTTCTTCATAGTATTTCAAGAAAGAAATAAACTTACCTGAAGTAGGTTGGGGTCTCCTTTCGTTTGCAGTAAATCTTGAGATACCAGGAAGGACTCACTTTTCTCACAGCTCTCCTGGCTGATGAGCGTGTCCGCGTAGTTGGGCTGGGGGAAGATCACGTGACTCTTTCGCGAGTCCGCGGTCAGGGAGACCTCGTGGGAATAGGTCTGCAGGAAAGCCCGCACCCCGTCCACGCCCACAAAGTGCGAGGCCGGCACGCCCACCAGCCCGCCTCCGGAAGCCTGGAGCAGACGCGACGCGTGCCAGCGCCTCAGCCTGAGCGCCAGCAGCACGATGACAACGGCCAGGAAGACGCACGAGACTGCCGCCACCGCCACCACCAGATACAGCGTGAGGTCCGAATCGTCTGGGTCGGCGGGGGTCCTGATGCTGCCCAGATCGGCCAGGACGGCTGGGATGCTGTCGGCCACGGCCACGGTGAGCGTGACGGTGGCCGAGAGAGGGGGCTGGCCGTGGTCCTGCACCGCCACCACCAGGCTCTGCTTGAGCGCGTCTCTGTCCAGCAGGGCCCGCGCCGTGCGCACCTCGCCCGTGTGCAGCCCCACCGCGAAGAGCCCTGGCTCGCTCGCCTTGAGCAGGCGGTAGGACAGCCAGGCGTTCTGGCCCGAGTCTCTGTCCACCGCTACCACTTTGGTGACCAGGTAGCCGGGCTCTGCGGAGCGGGGCGCCAGCTCCACGCCGGTAGAACCGTCGGTGGGGAGGGCGGGGTACAGGATTTCCGGCGCATTGTCATTCTGGTCCAGCACAAATATGCTCAATGACACATTGCTGCTGAGTGGAGGGTTCCCACTGTCACTGGCTGTCACCAATAGCTGTAGGTCTCTAACCTGCTCATAGTCAAAGGAACGGAGCGCATACAGGACACCAGTGTCAGAATTGATGGAGACATAGGTGGAGAGAGGCGCTCCCTGGATAGTATCCTCAGTCAGTGCATAAGTGATGTGGGCATTGTGGATACTGTCGGGATCCTGGGCAGTCACACAGAAGATGGAAGCTCCCCTGGGGTTGTTTTCAGGAATGTAGGCAGAGTAGGAGGACTGACTAAAGGCAGGTGGGTTGTCATTGATGTCTGCAACATGCAGAGTGATATGAGTACTCGTGGACAGTGGGGGATTTCCTCCATCTATGGCTCTGAGAGTGATGTTATATTCAGACACCTGTTCACGGTCTAGAGATCTGGCTGTCATTAAGCGGTAATATTGGTCTATTGATTTTTCTAAATTAAATGGCATATTTCCCAGGACAAAAACTGTGACTTGCCCATTTTGCCCAGAATCCCGGTCATGCACATTGATAAGGGCAATCTCTCTTCCAGCAGTAGCCTCTTCTGGGACTGATCCAGTAAGAGAAGTGATTATAATTTCTGGGGCATTGTCATTCACATCCAGAACTGTGACTAATATCTTAGCTCTTGAAAGGAGACCAGGTCCATCTTGTGCTTCAATTTTAATTTCATAAAATGTAGCATCCTCATAATCTAGACTTTTTAAAATTGATATATCTCCAGTCACTGAATTGAGATCAAACATCTGAGCGACGTTTCCAGGCATTTTATCTAGAATATAGGACACTTGAGCATTGAATCCTTCGTCAGGGTCAGTGGCATTTACCGTGAGCAGCGTGGTACCCACTGGCAAGTTCTCTGGAACACTTACTTGATATTCAGTTTGAGTAAATACTGGTGGGTTGTCATTTGCATCCAGAACTATCACTTGGATGCACAAGTTGCCAGAGTGGACAGGGTTTCCACCATCAGAAGCAATGAGGACAAGCTGGTGAACTTTCTTTTGCTCACGGTCCAGAGCCCTCTCCAGCACCAGCTCTGGGTACTTGGCCCCATCAGAGACATGCTTCACAGCCAGGGAAAAGTAGTCATTGGGGCTGAGGTGGTAGTTCTGAAGGGAGTTCGTGCCCACATCTGGGTCAAATGCAGTCTTAAGTGGAAATCGAGTTCCAGGAGCCGTTAGTTCACCAATTTTTATTAACAATTCCTCTGTTAGAAAATCAGGAGCATTATCATTAATGTCTTTAATTTCTATTTCTACTTCAAAAATTTTCAATTTGTCTTCAACCAGGATGTTAAATTTTACCAGACACAGTGCGCTCTGAGCGCAGAGCTCCTCCCGGTCTATCCTGCCTGCCGTGACCAAGCTGCCGCTTTGCAGGTTCAAAGCAAAGAGCTGTGTCCTACCTCTGGAGACGATGCGGACTCCACGCTCCGCCAGCTCCCAGGGCTCAAGTTCCAGGTTCTTGGAGATGTTGCCCACAAAGGAGCCTTTGTCCAGCTCCTCCTGCACTGAGTAGTGGATCTGCCCGGATCCAGTCTTGCACAGCGTCCCCAGAAGCACGCACAGCAGGGTCAGTCCCCTGCGGTGTTTGAATCTCAGATATTTTGTCATTTCCTCTTTGGTGAATTATTTTCTGTGAATTCGGTTCCAATTGCCCGCGACGGACTCAAATCTTATTTTTTCTCAAGGAACTAAGCGTTTTATGGTCCTAATTTATGGGTCACAGAGCTGGTTGACTGACAAAGTGAGTTTTGTAGCAGCCTCGGATCTTCTGGAGTCTGACAAGGAAATGGTGGACTAGCGCTCAAGCTCCGTTTTCAGCCTTGAATGGTCAACAGCGACACTCAGAGGCCTAATGGTTTACTGCACCCTCTCAGACAAACCCAAGTTAGTAATTTTTAAGTTTCCCAACACCTGAAATCGTCTTTATCAGAGGTAATGGGACTGGTGTCTATTTCACACAGTTGAATTGCTATATGTTAAAGTATGTTAACTTCAACTTCCTTGGGAAGCCATGCTCTAACCTTAACACCACCAATATTGCTTTAAATATGCTGGAATTACTGTTTTGAAATGTTCAAAATTTAAAAACCACAAAAAAATCAGCCATATTTATAATTATATTTATCGAAGTTTGTCCTTGATAGCCTGACATCTTAGTTTCAATATTTTAATTTAGCCCATTCATTAAACAAACATATAATTGGATGTTAGACGATATGTGGGGATTTAAGGTAAATGATATGAACATAACCACTCCCCCCCCAAGCTATGAAGATACAATCAAACAAGGAATTCCAGTGCATTGAGAAAGCTACCATAATGGGAGAAGCCAAAGGTGATGGGAGGGGCTCCAACCTGGCCTTGGAGGTTAGCAAATTCTCTCCCAAGAAACATGACAGGAGTGGATCAGGGAAAAGGCCTGGATGTGAGAGAGAACAGTATGGCAATGTCTAGATGTGAGAGAGAAACCAAAGAACTTCAGGATACTGGAAGTAGTTCACTTTGCCTAAATCTAGAGTGAGGGTGTTCTTTAAAGACCCAAACTGAAACTAGTAGAGATAAACTTTTGTTTTGTATTCCAGAAATGCTTTCTCTGTATTTGTTTTTCTCTCCAAGCACAGAAATAGAAATATATTTGTCATTTCAAGCATGTACAGTTATAAACTTATCCATAAGGCATTTATTCTTATGAAGAGGTAGTATAAACACTGTAAGGAACTCTGTCTTTAATTTTTCTCAGTTTATACGTTATTTATTACCTAGAAGTAAAGATGTTATGATGTATTATTCCACAATAAATTTCAGTTTTATCTCTTAGAGAATTATGTAATAGTAATAAAACACAAGAGACACATTGGCTTAGATCAGCTCTCCTCAAATACCCTTAAATATAATAAAAAATCACAGCACCTTGAAAGATGATAATACCATTAAACCTAAGACTCGGTTAGTATATGATTACTTCCAAATCCAAATTTAAAATGATCCCAGTTATATAGAACATTAGTGTAGTTTTTCTTCTTCATTATTAAAAATATATAACAAACACACTAAAAGCCAACTTGGAAAAAGGAATGAGGAAGGAAGACAGTGGTTGTGAGGGAGACTAAGGTTAGGTGAGGGACTGGAAATATTTTTAACACTGCTATGGGTAGGAATCTTTGCGAGGAGAAATGTATAAGGAGCATTTTTAGGGACAATTATTTGATATGGTCTCTGAATCCCTTGAGGATATGTACTGTTTTTAATGTTTGGAAGTAATGTGGTTTCCAGATATGAAAAAATAAAAACATCAAAGAGAAACATATTTACTATTACACTATCCATTTATTTTAGAGCAAACAATAATTCAATCACTTTGAAGTAGTAGTTGTTAAGCAACAACTACTTTAGAAGTCAATAGGATTTTTAGCTAAGCTGAGATACCATGACATACCTTCCTAAAACACAGTGAAGCATATTTATTTCTAAATTTCCATTTTTTTAAATAGGGAAGGTCATACAAATCAAATAAAATGAAGAACCTCACTGCCAAACTGAAGGAAAAATATTAAAATTGAGTGAGAAGAAACTAAAGTATTTCATTACTCATAGATTAAAATATAAAACAAAAACCATGAATTTTAAAGCATTTGAGTAAACATAAAATTCAACTTTCATTTTTAAAAAATATTTTTATTTTATTTTTTAAAAAGTAAACTCTACCCCCAACATAGGGCTCAAACTCATGACCCCCAGATCAAGACTCGCATGGTTCACTGACTAAGCCAGCCAGGGGCCCCTCAACCTTCATATTTTTAAGACAGAAAGAATTACTGACCCAGGTAGACGAGATGATTTGTCCAAGGGTGGGAAAGAAAGTATGAGAAACCAGATATACCAGTTCCTAAAGGAATGTTCTTTGATGACCTAAATAATATTCACCCGATACTAACTCCTGATTTATACTCATGATACAATGATTCTAGCCCCTCTTCCGCTTACAGGGTGTGAACACTTAGAACTATTGAGAAATAATTCACCAGGACTCATTTCCTAAGAATTGATATATTCACAAGGAAATACGAGAAATAGAAAAGATGTGGTAAACAATGGAGGCAGCTAAGTAAATAAATGTTTATTTTAGCAATAGCTACTAAGTATATTGTGAAGGGAATTTACCTGAAAAATTGTTTCTCCTTTATCTTCAAGTAAAGACTGCGGTGCTGATAGAAAATCCTTTTTCTCACAGCTCTCCTG